GGTGGGGTCCGGTGGGGTGGGGTCCGGTGGGGTGGGGTCCGGTGGGTTGGCGCGCCAGTGGGGTCCGGTGGCAAATGCCCTCCTCTGCCCCCCGCCACCCACGCCTCGGGTCTGCGCGTCCTGCCAGCTGCGCGTCTTGGCAGCCGACCCCAGCTTCGGGGCCCCCCTGGGGGATCCAAGGCCTCTCCCAAGAGATCCCTAAAGGGCGTTCCCTTTGTTCATTCATTCAGGTAATATTTGTTCAACTTCGGTTCCTCAGTTTTTAGGAACCTAACCCAGGCCTAGCTTTGCCGCCTTTTCATACAGGTGCACTGCCCCTGCCTTGGAGTCCCCGGGCGGTGCAAACTGTTAACACGCTGCGCGGCTAACGGGAAGGATGGCAGTTTGAGTCCACCCAGAGGTGCCTAGGAAGAAAGGCCTGGCGATCTACTTCCGAAAAATGAACCACCGAAAACCCTATGGAGCACAGTTCTACTCTGACACACATGGGGGCTTCTCCACGGTAACAGGTTTTAACGGGTCTCTGCCTCGTGAATGACTCAGCCAAGCTAGGAAAGACCCTTCCCCTCCCCTGCTTAGCCAATACCCCGTGTGAATTTCCAAATTCCGAGTCCCCAGCGCTGGGAGGATCAGGCCCCCTCTCCTCCCTTCACCCCTCACGCCCCCCAAGAAAGTGTTAATGGCAAATAGTGACCACGGCCACGCTCCGCTGTTCCTGCCCGGGAGCCAGCCTTATGCCAAGCTCCTCCACACCGCAAGGCGCCCCCTTCTCCCCAAGCCAGGAGGCGTTTCAAGCCGCAGCCGGGGCCTCCTGAGCCGGGAGAAGTCTGAGAGCCCGGGGCTCAAACACCTCCAGGCTGGTGGTGGGTGAGCCGGGACTCCTCCGCGCGGGGCGGCCCGAGGGCTCCCGGCCCGGCTCTCCCAGCCCGCCGGGAAGCTTGGGTCCGGACCCTGCAGCGGAACTACAATTCCCAGCACCGCGGCCGCCCGGACTCCCGGAAGCCGCCGTGAGGAGGGCAGGAAGCCGCTGAGACCCCGCCAAGAGGCCGGGGGTTAGTTCAGCAAGAAAAAGGGGGCGGGAAGGGCTGGGGGCCCCCTGTCAAGTCGTCGCCATGAACGTGGTTTTTGCTGTGAAGCAGTACATTTCCAAAATGATAGAGGACAGCGGACCCGGTATGAAAGTACTTCTCATGGATAAAGAGACGGTGAGTTTGGTTTTCCTCCAGTATTTATCATGAGGCAGCCGTCCCTCCTGTACAATAGCGAACCCCATTCCCCTGTCGGATTTAGTGTTGAATTAAAGATTGTAAAGCGAGAGTCAGTTCTGTATGGGAACTGAAACGTTGCGTAAAGCTTGCCCAGTAGGTTTTAAGGTTTCTTATATCCGGTACAGTTTATTGGAATCAGAAATCCTTTTCTGAATGTCTCTATCAAGGAATAATTAGCACGTGAGACCGAGCGCTGGGAAGACTTTGGGGATGGCCCGGTTATTTCCAGTCAACGTTGTGTTTTTAAAGTAAAGCTGAGATGATAAGTCGTTATTTTTTTGGTCACAGACTTTAAAGAAAACAACTCTTTCAGGGGATGGCAAATTATGGATTGTCCGTGTTCAGACAGAGCCTGTTTTTCATCCTGGTACATTGTCTCCCTGCTTTGAAATGCTCAGTAGATGCTCAGCTAAGTGTTAATGAACATACACACACGCACGAAGTCTTGGGTGTTATTATTTGTTTTTATTATTCTGGACTAACGTCATCTGAGTTCGTTCTTTTTCTTTACAGACTGGAATAGTGAGTATGGTATACACACAGTCAGAGATTCTTCAGAAGGAAGTGTACCTCTTTGAACGCCTTGACTCTCAAAATCGAGAGGTCATGAAACACCTGAAGGCGATTTGTTTTCTTCGGCCGACGAAGGTACTACACGAGCCGAACTGCCATCTGCCCAAGGAAATGCAGAACACTCTGGTTTGAAACGTTAAGGAGGCAAAATAAATTTTATTATCATCCTTCATGGTATCATCACTGTCCTCATTTATCAGAATTATAACCTTGACTCTTCTCCTTTCCACATCTCGGTTCACCCCTCAGGGCCAGTTCTTCCTTCAAGGTGTCTTTTAGGTTCTTGGCTATTTCAAAAGCCACCCATAACAGAGACCCACATCACTTTATTCCTGGATTAACGTCCATACCTATCCCACCATATAACATTGCAATTTAATCTTATATACAACTATCAGTGTCTTGAATCTTTACCATTTTCTCCACATCTATACTCAGGAACCTATAGTGGCTCGATTTTATTTCTGTGACTAAATCTATATTTAGCAGCCCAAGAGTCAAAGCCCTCTTTTAGCTGATTAGGTCTGCCCTTAATGTATCCAGTCGTCCTATGCCCCAGCTCTGCTCCTCACTACAGCTGACCAGGGCTTTTTACCATCTCCTTGCATCCTCATTCCTGTCCCCTATCGTTTGTTCTCGTCCCCGAATCTAAAGGTTCCTCAACCTTCTGTAAGTCTGTCCATCACCTTCTAAATTTATCCTGAGTCTCTTCTTTAAAAATCCTTTCCTAGCTCAGTATTATTTTGATACTCTCTTGCTTCATATCCATGTTTTTCAATGCTTGTATACTCTTTTACCACATTCATGCATTCTGTGATTTCCAAAGTACAAATCCAGCCATATCACACCCACTTCAAATCCTCGGATGACTTCTCATTGTTTTAGGATAAAGACAAAATTCCTTAATTGTACCCTGCTATTTGCAAATACTTCACAAACATTGCAGGTGGTCACAGTCTTGGTTTCAATTAATTAAACGTCAAAGCAAATATACCCGTTGCCGTAGAGTCAATTCCGACTCATAGCAACCCTCTAGGACAGAGTAGAACTGTCCCATAGGGTTTCCAAGGCTGCAATCTTTATAGAAGCAGACTGCTACATCTTTCTCCCTCAGAGTGGCTGGTGGGCTTGAACCACCAACCTTTCAGTTAGCAGCCTAGCACTTAACCACTGTGCCAACAGGGCCCCTTAAATATAATTAACTAAATTTCTCTTGAATGTTTGTTTTTAAAGGACTAGAGAGACATTTTGATATTTTATATCATAATTGATCAGCTGAATTTATGAACAAGCAACTTGAGGGAAATTTGCAGAATTACTGTCAATTTTATGGTGTATTTCAACGTCAGTTTCCTTTATATTTTTATCTTAATTTGGCCAAGATGATGCAACTACTTAATATTTAATGTGTTTATATATATATTCCCGTTGCCATTGAGTCGATTCTGACTCATAGCAACCCTATAGGACAGAATAGAACTGCCCCATAGGGTTTCCAAGGAGCCGCTGGTGGATTCAAACTGCCAACCTTTTGGTTAGCAGCCGAGCTCTTAACCACTACACCACTTTTGATCATTGTATTTTATGTATCTCTTTTTTGTCCACAACCCTCACTCCCCCCAACAGGCACGCATTTAACATAGACCTCATCACACAGTGGGCTCTCAGTAGACAAATAAATCAGTAGATGATATTTATTAGTTTTTAACTTAAGCCATTCTCTTCATATTTCATTCTTTCTTTCCTAGGAGAACGTAGATTATCTGATTCAGGAGCTCCGAAGACCCAAATATAGTGTATATTTTATTTGTAAGTATGTTATTTCACCTACTTAAACATCCTAGTTACTATGCTCCATTGAGTACATCATATCATCAATAAGTTAATTGAATCTCTCACTGTAAAAGTTTATTTTTTATGTCATTTCAAAGTATTAAAAATCTTGTGATTAGCATTCTGTTCCAGAGAGCTAATGGTGATTTCTATTCATCATTGGTCACTTAGGCAAAAACATTTTTTAAGTTCTATTTTGTCTTTCAAGATGTTTTGCAAGTATCAGAGTTCTCAGTAGCCACATTCCACATCCCAGATTTGCAACAACAACAAACATATATATATTTCTATTTTACACTTTTATGAATTGAGGTATAAAAAACCAAAAACCGAACCCGTTGCCGTTGAGTCGATTCTGACTCATAGCGACCCTACAGGACAAAGTAGAACTTGCCTGTAGAGTTTCCAGGGAGCACTTGGTGGTTTCCAACTGCTGACCTTTTGGTTAGCAGCCATAGCTCTTAACCACTACGCCACCAGAGTTTCCAAATTGAGGTACAGGAACTGATTTATACTTAAGTTTGTTGGAAGAGCAGAGATTAGTGTTACATACCGGGTAAAAACATTCCCTTTCTCTTTGCTGTTTTATGTGATACTTGAAAGTACAAGGCATCAGTGCACAACTCTTAAGTGCACAGCTTTTTTGGGGGGGAAGGATTTGAAATAAACCAAGTTTGTGGCTACTATGCAATTTATATGGATTTAAAAAACATATGTATATAATATATCTGCTTTGGAAGTTACATCTGTTCTCCTCTAGATGTCATTGCTGATCTTTATAGGATTCAGAAAACCAAAACCCAACCCATTGCCTTGTAGTTGTTTCCAACTCACAACTGTTAACCAAAAGGTAGGTGGTCTGAACCCACCAGCCACTCTGCGGGAGAAAGATTTGGCAGTTTGCTTCTTTAAAGATCAAAAAGCCAAACCCAACCTATTGCCTTTGAGTCGATTTCAGCTCATAGCCACCCTATAGGACAGAGTAGAACTGCCCCATAGGGTTTCCAAAGCTGTAAATCTTGATGGAAACAGACTGCTTTGGAACAGCCAACCTTTCAGTTAGTAGCTAAGTACCTTAACCCCTATACTATCAAAGGCTGTAAAGATTACAGCCTCAGAAATCCTATGGGGCAGTTCTACTCTGTCCTTTAGGGTCGCTATGAGATTATAGGATTAGTGCAGTATGTCTATTTGGTGACATTTCCAAAACCAGGGACAAAACTTAACACTCAGTATGTAGGGAGTTTGAGAAGTTTTAAAGCTTAGTTGGAGGCTTTGGAATTTTAGGGTTTTGATACCTAGACTTTAGTCTAAGATTTTTTTCAGTATATGCTACTATTTAATAATGATACAAAAAAGTTACATTTGTGTAAGTCTCATTCTCTCTCTATAAGGTAATTAGCACTAAAGCCCATGAAAAATAATCTTTGTTGAAATTTCTTCTGTAAAACAATCAATTTCAGAATTTTATTCGAAGTAAACTAAAATTAATTTGTATATAGTAATTTTATTCATTACAAACTTTCCAGTACAATTTGTATTAGCACTAAACTAATACATCTCATTTTTTATAATTTTATTTTTGTATGTTTTTATGTCTACTTAATCTCTTCTATAATTGGCTTCTCCCTCCTTTATTTTAAAAAAAAAAAAAAAACTTTTTATTATGGAAGTTTTCAAATATATATAAAAGTAGAATAGTATAATAAGTCCACACATACCCATCATCCAGTGTTAACAATGATCAAGCCATGGCCCATGTAGTTTTAGCTATACTGCCACCTACCCCCGCCCCCCACCAAAATTATTTTGAAGCAAATCTAAGACATCGTATAATTTTACCCATAAGTATTTCAGTATGCATCCCTGAAAGATAAGGACTCATTTTTTAAAAATGCCATTATTACATCTAAATAAAAATGAAAAATAATTTCCTTACTATTTTCAAATATTCATTCAGTGTTCAAATTTCTAATTCTCACATGTCTTTTTTTTAAGTTTGTTTGAATCAGGATCAAAATAAGGTCCACATATTGCTATTGGTTGATATGTTGTTTATGCCCCTTTAATCTTCTATAGGTTCCGTCTGTCTTTCTCTTTTCCTTGCAATTTATTTATTTATTGAAGGAACTGAATTGTATGTAAAGTTCCCCACAGCCTGGATTTTGCTGATTGCATCCCCATGGGGTAGTTTAACATGTTCCTGGAAATTCAGCAGTTCCTCTATTCTCTAGTTGCTGTAAATTGGTAGTTGGATAACCAAAAACTAAACCCATTGCCATCAAGTCAATTCCAACTCATAGCGACCCTATAGGACAGAGTAGAACTGCCCCATAGGGCTTCCAAGGCTATAAATCTTTACGGAAGCAGATGGCCACATCTTTCTCCCGTGCGGCAGCTGGTGAGTTCGAACCACCGAACTCTTGGTTAGTAGCTGAGCACATAACCACTCTGCCACCAGGGCTCCTGGTGGTAGTTGGATTGTTAGGTGCTATTGAGTCAGTTCTGACTCATAGTGACCCTGTGTACAACAAAATGAAACACTGCCCTGTCCTGCAGCACCTCACAATCGTTGCTATGTTTGAGCCCATCATTGCAGCCACTGTGTCAGTCCATCTTGTCGAGGGGCTGCCTCTCTTTTGCTGACCCTTTACTTTACCAAGCATGATGTCCTTCTCCAGGGACTGGTCCCTCCTGATAACATGGCCAAAGTATGTGAGATGAACTCTCGCCATTCTCGCTTCTAAGGAGCGTTCTGGCTGTACTTCTTCCAAGACAGATTTGTTCATTCTTCTAGCAGTCCATGGTATATTCAATATTCTTCACCACCACCATAATGCAAAGGCATCCATTCTTCTTCAGTCTTCCTTATTCATTGTCCAGCTTTCACATGCGTGTGAGGCGACTGAAGATATCATGGCTCGGGTCAGTTGCCCTTAGTCCTCAAAGTGACATCTTAGCTTTGGCAGTTGGATAGAGATGCTTAATGAAATTCAGATTTGATTTATTTGTGGCACGAATACCTCATGGGTGATGCTGTATGCTTGCATTGAGTGTTTCTTGTGATATTAGCAGCTGTTGTTGCTCAGTGCTTACCCATTGCTGTCGAGTTGATTCCGACTCATAGCGACCCCATAGGACAGAGTAGAACTGCCCTGTAGAATTTCCAGGGAGCACCTGGTGGATTCGAACCGCTGACCTTTTGGTTCGCAGCTGAACACTTAACCACTGCACCACCAGGGTTCCCCCAACTCATCCAGCCTTTGTCTATTCTTCCATGTGTTTGTCAAAGGGCTGTATAGATTGGGAGAAAATTTTGGGGAATCATATGTCCAATAATGGTCTAATAACATATATACATATGTACACATATATATGTATGTATGTATATGTAAAACTTCTACAACTTAACAACAAAAATACAAGTAACTCAATCAAAAATGGGCAAAGGACTTGAACAGACATTTCACCAAAACGGATATTCAAATGGCCAAGAAGCACAAAAACGATTTTCCATGTCATTAGCCATTTAGAAAACTCAAAACCAAACCCATTGCCGTTCAGTTGCTTCTGACTTGTAGTGACCCTACAGGACAGAGTCGAACTGCCCCATAGGGTTTCCAAGGAGCGCCTGGTGGCTTCGAATTGCTGACCTTTTGGTTAGCAGCCGAGCTCTTAACCACTGCGCCACCAGGGTTTCCGCTCAATGCTTACAACCATTAATTCATTAGAGGTTGAAAAAAATGGTGTTATTCAAATTCTGTTATTATTTTCTCTCTTTGTTTTAGCTGGAATGTTCTATAAAAGGAAATTTCCCCTTGTCTACTATTTTGTTACCCAGTATAGTGTGTATACAAAAGACAGGAGGAAAGCTTACTTTTTTCCATTTATTTACTACTGTCAGTATAGTGGCTTGGTTCCCTAGTTTCTTCCAATGGTGATCATTTTTTTTTTTTTTTTTAGTATTACTATGAATTTATGGATTTAAACATATTTGGGCTGCTCATTCCAGTTTGAGGGTTTTTAGTTTTACCTGTGCCATAATGTGTACTGTCCTAAACTTCACCTGTTCATTAGGCTGTAACTGGCAGGCCCGTTTATGTCTAATTGCAGCAGAGACAAGCTCACATGTCTGTTTCAGATTTCAGTAACGTGATCAGCAAGAGTGATGTGAAGTCATTGGCTGAAGCTGACGAACAGGAAGTTGTGACTGAGGTTCAGGTAAACGTTGGGTCCCTCACACATCTCGAAAAATAAGGAAGGTGCCATCTCAAAAGAAGGGCGCCTACTGAGCAGACAGATAAATGTGCCTTGCACCAGACTATATCCAGTGGACGGCAGTGGGTTTGGGTACTCACGTTTAGAAAGTTTGGAGAGGTGTCAAAGTGAATGGGAGCAGAATTAAAGGCATCCGTGAGAATACAGAATACGGAGATTGGGTTGGGGGATTGGTAGGAAGGTTTCACAGGGCTGGGACAGAATCAGATCCGTCCTGTGCTAGGTTTAGGAGCCACGATGTAAGAGTCTTCATCAACAGGACGACGTCTGATTGGGAGAGAACAGGAAGTGAAGGTTGTGAGTGAGGCTTTGTTAAAGTTCTGTGGGTGATTATCTTGCTTTGGGAGGAAGTAAGCAGACTGTTGTCGTTAGGTGAAAACTTGGACACTCCAAAACATGTACTCTGCATATGTACCGCAGTCACATTAGAACATGTCATGTGACCTTTTCCTCCTGGAACACACGGTGTTCTGAAATATGATTGTGCTGTGTTTACTGAAGTGAAGAATATTGTCTTCAGAGACAACGAATACACAAATTTTGCATTTTTCAGAAGACTATGCTAGGTTATAAATGACTAAAAATAATGACCTATTTTAAATCCTATTGTCCCCTAAACGGCAAAGTTCTGTTTTATCTGAGTATAACGTTGTATGTTCTATAGCAGTATTTTATTTTTACTAATTGGTAAGTGTGTATAGATGTCTCTGGAAATAAACTGTGTATGTATGCCTCTACAACTTTTGTTTTTTTTTTTGGAAAGATTTATTGTTACTGTTTTATAATCATTTTATTAATTCGCCCACTTTGACTCTTGTTACTCAGTTGTTAATTGAGCAATTTTTGTATCTCTGTTGCACCTGAATTTCAAGTTTGACGTTTTGGGATTAGATCACATATGACAACATTACTGCATGGTGAAATGGGAGTTTATGGAATGACTGATCTTGGGGTTCTTTATTTGCAGGAATTCTATGGTGATTACATTGCTGTGAATCCACATTTGTTCTCCCTCAATATTTTGGGCTGCTGCCAGGTATGGAAGAAAAGGATAAGAAATTAAGTTAATTCATCAGGTGAGAGTTAATTCAACAAGTACTTGGATTTGTGAAAGAAAATTCAAATATTTTCTCTGGATATATGTTTTTTAACAAAAAGGGTCGAAATTGGGATCCAGCCCAGCTATCCAGAACAACTCAAGGGCTGACAGCTCTCCTTTTGTCTCTGAAGAAATGTCCCATGATTCGTTACCAGCTGTCATCAGAGGCAGCAAAGAGACTCGCCGAATGTGTGAAGGTATGCCATTGCCTCCAGAACCTGAAGACCATTCGGTCCCCTGTGGACGAGAATGCTACCTTTTCTTTCAGAAACGAAAAAAAAAATTTTACATAGAACCAAGGAGATGATGTGTTAGGTTATTGGCAAAGAGCTAGGTGTTTGCGATCCAAAACCAAAAGCAACAAATGAGAGCTAAGATTCTTAAGCTCTAACTCAGGAAACATCTACAAGCTGTTTAACCTTTTTTGGTTCAGTTAAACCACTGGTGTGATAAGAGTTTCAAGTCCTAGTCTCTCTTAAATAGAATGCAACTACGTGAAGCTTTTGATTCCTTTTATGGAAGGCCTACGCAGGTGCAAAGAGCTATTGTTAGATACGGTTTTTATGTATTAATTTCCTATTTTTCTCATCTTTATCTGCAGCTAATTGGTTGACCAAACCATCTTTCTCTCTCATCCACAGCAAGTGATAACTAAAGAATACGAACTTTTCGAATTCCGGCGAACTGAGGTTCCTCCACTGCTGCTTGTTTTAGATCGCTGTGATGATACCGTCACCCCCCTGCTAGACCAGGTGCAGGACAGACCTTTATCAGCCGCGTAGAGGGAGGGTTTCAGGTCGCGTCCATCAAAATGCAGAAATGGACAGCATGATCCATTGTTTTGCCCCATTTTCCGTTGTTGTTGTGTTCCCTGATGTTTTGATTTCACCATTTTCCCAGCCACAGTTCTCTTTGACTCTTTCTTCTGTCTCCTCCTTCCTGCCCTTTGTGCCATTACTCCCCAGCCTGATAAAGGCAACTTCTAAGTTGTGTGGATTCTTGTTTCCCTGTGTTTCTTTCGTCGGCTCTTTTCCTTTCTTAGGGCCATCGCCTTGGTGCAGCCCCCGATCTCTTGCAGGAACACTGATGTAATTGTCTAGTGGAGCCCTCCCTTGTAATTTCTTCCCACTCTAATATATCCCACCGACGTGCTGTTGTTAAATTGCTTTTCTTAAAGCATAGCTCTAATCCTGTTATTCCCCCAGCTTAAAAATCTTTATTGATTCCCATTTGCCTACTGGATTAAGTGTAAACGCCTCAACTTGGCCTCCAGGAGCCTTCACAATAAGGGTTCAACCTCATATAAAACTGGGTGGGACACTGCTGCCCAAATATGCCCATGCTTTCCTGCCATAGTGCTTTTATTCACATTGTAACCTTTGTCTAAACTGTAGAATTGTTGGACTGCCTTTTCTTCCCATCCCCACCTATCAACATACTTTCTGAAAACCACTCAAAAGCCATTTCGCTTCTCCCTGATAACCTGCATTCTGTCAGTCAGACGTGTCTTCCGTCCGTAAGTCACTGTAGAACCTTGCGTCTGTCTTGCGTCTCGTGCTGCCTTGCCCTGTCGTGGCTTTGGTGGTTTTCGCCTTCCTAGGTTCTTGTTCCTTTAAGACAGGCTGTGTCTGACTGGTGTTCGCCCTCCTTCAGGCACAAGAACGGTGCCTTGCGCATAACAGGTGCTTTGTTAACAGTGAATATGAATTCTTTTGAAAAGTAGAGTCTGTATCTCGGTTTATTCCCAGCTTACAGTAATGTTAATGCTGAAGGAAATCCGTGGCTGTGGAATGAAAGTTCCCTGTGGTGTAGGATGGCCTTATATTCCTAAAATCCAAAGTTACATGTGTTGACTAAAGAAACTCAAAACTATGAAAAAGTAAAAAGAAAAATAACAGCTTGGAATTCTGTTTTCCAAGGAAAACCAATTATTCGTTTAACAAATTTCACTGAGAACCTGTTATGTGCCAGATACTGTACTCAGTTCTAGAGAGAAAGGGGTGAAAGATACAATCTCTGCCCTCAAAGAGCCCATGGTCCAATGGAACAGAAGTAGACAGATAATTTTAATTATCTACTAAGTGCTATGGTAGAAGCATGCACGTTATGTCATCCGTGGCAGCAGGAAACATTTTCTTGTACTTATTTTAAATACCCTAAGGGAACTTGCTTTTTTCCTATGGTAAATCTTCTAGGAATAAAGCAACTTCTTTTGTAACCTCTTAAATTATTTCTTGATAAATCTAGATTGCTTAAAACAAAATACAACAATATAAATTTTTCTAGCATACCAAGATTTGGAAGGTAGATTGCTGGAGAATACTTACTTTTGTCTAATGGGCTTATGACTAAATTGATTTATTCTCTGTAAATGGTGAGAAGGCAAAATTTGGGGTTTCCCCTTTTCAGTTTTGCCAAATAAGTTCACTCTTTGTAAGACTGGAAACCAATCCTTCTTCACAATTCATGTTAAGTAAAAATATAAAATAAAATGGATGAAGAGGAAGACTACTGAATATGCCAGTATTTTGATCAACTCACAGGGTTTTTTCTGATAATATTAGTGTTCCCAAGATAAATATAGCACCACTCAGATCGGCAAGAACACACTTCTCATGCTGCCGAGAACCACAGAAGTGTACAGGAAGTGATACGGCTTGTAAGTGCAGTACCAATATAGCCCTCTCTGGGAAGCCACAAATACACTCTTAATTCACAGGCAAAGATTGGAACTCATGATAGATCTAATCTGTTTTCTTTCTATCAGGAAAATTCATCTGGTTAGCCTTGTTCCAAAAGTGTAAAATCTGAAAGTATGTTGACTTTTGAGTGTTTAACTACTTCAAATGACAATCTAAATACTTATTATAGCACAAAACATTAAGGTCATTTGGACTAAATGGAGACGCTCCGTGTAAAGAAGGCTAATTACCAAGAAGGTCATTAAATTTTATTTGTTTTCCTGAGCAGTTACTACTTCCATGTTTTGTCAGTTACCGATTTTTTTTGTCATGATTCTTTATTTAGTGGACATACCAGGCCATGGTCCATGAACTATTAGGCATAAACAACAATCGGATTGATCTTTCCAGAGTTCCAGGGATCAGTAAAGACCTGAGAGAAGTGGTCCTGTCTGCTGAAAATGATGAATTCTATGCAAATGTAGGTGTTTGAGTACCTTTTTTTATATCGTGATTGTGTTAATGTAATAAGGTCAGCGTTGGCTTCTTGGAATGGGGGTCTCCATGCGTTTCGTGTAGATAAGTCTGTATCCCAAGGAAAGGCAGAAGACTGGGATTCTGACCCTTTACAATATCTTTTTCATAGAAACCGCATACTTGTAAAATTTTGAACCCAATTTAATTTAATTACTTCCCTCCGTGTCTAGGAGCCCTTTGTGAGAATAGTGATGGCATTCACCATCAGTGCCCTGGCCTGTCCAAAAATGGTCATTATAATGGAATTCTTGCCTTTCAACTCTAACTGTGTGCAAGATGCTTTTTCACTTCTTGTTTTCAATTGTCTGAAAGTCAGACTAGTTGATAGAACTGTTTTTCTAACTTCCTTTTTCACAGAATATGTATCTGAACTTTGCTGAGATTGGTAGCAATATAAAGAATCTCATGGAAGACTTTCAGAAGAAGAAACAAAAAGAACAGCAAAAACTAGAATCAATAGCAGACATGAAGGTAAATTGAACATGGACCTGTATGACTAACACACAAGACTTTGGAAACGTTCATGCGAGCGACGTTTGTAGAATCTTGTGGGTCTGATTTATACCCTGATTCCGTATGTTGGTTTGAGACTTACTTTCTGTGATGTCTCTCCTTAGTAAACAGTGTAGTGAAAACTTCATAATAAGCCATGTCCTTCTTTCCATTCTTCAGTTATTCTTGGACTTTTAAAAACTCGGTCTACTGACATATACTAGTTCTTTTTAAGCCTAACAAAATGTCATGTGATTGAAAGTTGTAGGTTCCTCAGTCTGGGCAGAAAATAATGCCTGTTTTTCTTCTTTTTTCCTTCTTACTACGTGTCTGTCCTCAGTCCAGAAATAACAGAACCCCCTGTTGATGTTTCCCCGTGACAGGCGTTTGTTGAGAATTATCCACAGTTTAAGAAAATGTCTGGGACTGTCTCAAAGCATGTGACGGTGGTCGGAGAGCTGTCTCGGTTGGTCAGTGAACGGAATCTGCTGGAGGTTTCGGAGGTTGAGCAAGAACTGGCCTGTCAAAATGACCATTCCAGTGCTCTCCAGGTACCTTACTCAGTCCAGTTTGACGAGTCCCTACTGTGTGAGGCAGTGTGCCAGGCAGAGCAAGAGATACGGAGGCAAGTAATCCTCCTTCTCCACGTGGAACTTACAGTCTAACAGGGATTTGAGACAAGGACACACACTCTTATGATTTAAGATGGGTGTTCGTAAGGGCCACAGGAGGAGTACAACATGCAATGGGGATTCCAGTGGGTTCAATTCAGTTGATCAATTATCTATGAAGGTACTCTGGTCTACCAGAAATAGCACTAGACTAAAATCAGACAATCCGGATTGTAGTGTTTGGTTTCCCACTTACTGGCTTTACGATCCAGAGCTGTTGACTTCATCTCTGAGCCAGTTTTCTCATTTGTAAAATAGGCATAATAATACTTATCTCACCAGGTTGAGAGGATTTTAAAAGTTGTAATGTATATGAAAATGTATTATCTAAGGTTTTTTTAATTACTGAACATCTGCTTTTCCTTCTACAAATATGTGAATGCCTGCTACATGTACATACTGATATGAGGGTCTAGGGATACGGTATAAGCTTCCTAGGGCTACCTTAGCAAGTTACCACAGACCAGTGACTTAAAACAACACAAATTTATTCCCTCACAGACCTGGAGGCTAGAACTCTGAAATCGAGATGTCAGCCAGCCTTGCCTCCTCCGCAGGCCCTAGGGGAAGAATTCTTCCTTGCTCCTTGTTAGCTTCTAGTGGTTGCTGGCGGTCCTTGGTGCTGCTTGTAGCTGCTCCCTCCCCTCTCTGCCTCTGTTGTCACATGGGCTTGTTACAGTTAGGACCACGCTAAACAGCTGTGACCTCGGCTTAACTGATCACATCTGTGAGACTTTATTTCCAAATATGGTCACATGCTGAGGTTCTGGGGGGACATGAATATTTGGAGACACTGTTCAACCCAGAAGAAGCCCTCGCGGCGCTGTGGTTTAAGCACTTGGCTGCTAACCAGAAGGTCGGTGGTTCAAACCCACCAGCCATTCCTCGGGAGAAAGATGTGTCAATCTGCTTCCGTAAAGATTACAACCTTGGGAACCCCACGAGGCAGTTCTACTCTGGCCTATAGGGTCGCTATAAGCTGGAATCGACTCAACGGCAATGGGTTTGGTTTTTTTGGTGGATATTCAACCCAGTACCGGTACAAAGATGAGTAAGATACAATCTTTTCTTTTAAAGAGCCACACGATAGTGGGGGAGAAAGAAATTTAAACCGTGAACCATAATACCATGCAATAAGTGTGGAAATACAGAGGAAGGAGCAACTGTTTTCCCTAAGGGCGAGCCTGAAAGGCCCCTTAGAGAAGACGACGTTAGATTTGGGTCTGGACAGATAAATAAGTAGGAGCGCATCGAGCAGAGAAAGGGAGGGAACGTTCTCGGCAGAGAGAACGCCGGCATGGCGATGTGAGAAACAAAGGAAACGGGATAGTTCAGGGTAGCTGAGCAGGGTGCAGCTGAGAAGGGGTCCCGGACAAGCCTCAGAAGATACACGGGGGCCATGTTGTGGCCACTGAACGGTGGTGGGTCTTTGATCGTAAAGTGTTGGGGAGCTCCCACAGGATTTAAAAGGAAAGTGACCTAATTCGACCCTGGCCTCGAGAAATTTACAGTCTAGCTGAAGAGCCGAAACCGAAGCACAGGAAACAATTAGATGATGTTTCAAGATAACATTTAATTAAGTCAAGTATGATACTGATTATAATAGGATAGGAGGTTATTAGGGACAGTTTCTCAGAGACGAGGGTATTGAGCTGGACCTTAAAGAATGAATAGAATTTGGAGGAGGATTTCAGTCAGGGATAACAGCAGAAGCAGAGATGCAGAAGTATGCGGGAAATAATGAGCAGTCTGACCTATTGGAGTGGGTGTGGAAGAGAAATGAGACGCAAAATTGAATAGGTAAACATGAGCCAGTTTATGGAGAGGCTTGTAAGAGGAATGTGTACTCGCTGGGATGGGCAGAGATCTAGTGTAGGGTCTTACGTGGACAGCTGAGGTGATGAAGGCTGTGTTTTAAGAGATTCAATCTAGTAAAGACGTTCTAAGGTGGCAACACTGAAGTCAGAGGCTGGTAGACTCGTAGTGATGTTAGTAAAAATGTGCAGTTTGGGGCAAATCGGAGAGACGATTCAAAGGTAAGGAAATAAGAATGGAATGTGGGTGTCAGGATAGCAAGACAGTACAAATCAGATGATTCCGTGGTTCCTAAAATATGGCAAAAAGGTGGTATTACTGACAAAGGAGGAACTAAGGAATGAAATTCCTGTGGGAGGCAGCCGTGTCTAAACCACTTACTGTAAGAAGCACATTTCCTGATTAATTACCTGTTGCCGTCCAGTCGATTCCTACTTATACTCATCCCATAGGACAGGGTAGAATTGCCCCATAGGGTTTCCAAGGAGCAGCTGGTGGATTCGAACTGCCGACTTTTTGGTTAGCAGCCAAGCGCGTAACTGCTGAGTCACCAGAGCTCTTTTCCTCACTAACAGAACCCTATATTCTAAAGTTTAGTCTTTTTGTTTCCTTCTCACAATTCTTCTTTATTTATAAAATGAAACCATCATGGTATACTGTAAATAACACAGGCTTTAGAGCCAGGCCTGGTCGTGCAGCGGTTAAGTGTTCAGCTGCTAACGGAAAGGTCAGCAGTTCGAACCCACTAGCCGCTTGGCAGGAGAAAGATGTAGCAGTCCACTTCATAAAGATTTACAGCCTTGGAAGCCCTGTGGGGCAGTTCTCCTCTGTCCCACGGGGTCACCATGAGTCGGAATTGGCTCGACGGCAGTTGGTTTGCTTTTTGGTTTTGTCCTGGCGTCTGTCCTGTCTCTACTTAACAGAGTTTCTTTGGGAAGATTGCGTACTTTGTGCAAGCCTCAGGTTCCTATCTGTAAAACAGGGAAGATGATTTCAAACTTTTCGATTGTTACAAGGATGCAGCGAGATATGTAAAATGCTTCTAAGTGCTTTGTAAATGTTGATTCCCTTTCTCTAAGCATGTTTATATATATATCTATACGTGGTACAATCAAAAGAAAGAAATCCATCTGTGGGTGCTCTAGTTATACCAAAGTCATTTCCAAGATTTATAGTTGTTGGTTTTAAATTTTTAAAACTGTTGATCAGGGTTTCCTCTGAAAGCACCACCATTTTGAAAATCGTGGGGATGCTATTTGCTTTATTCAGTGAGAAATGCTTCTGTTGGCACTTTCTTAATTTTGTCCCTGTGTCCTTAAGTCTTCGCAAAGAATTCTCAGTGTTTTAGGTTAACTTTACTGTTAGTTTTTTAGCTGTTGTTATATATATATATATATATAACACAGTATTTGCCAATTCAGTATTGTTCACACGTTCAGTTCAGTGATACCGATTATATTAGTCGTATTGCGCAGGCATCACCATTATCATAGCCAAGTTTTCTGTCCCCATTAACAGATACTCAGTGTTTCCTAAACAATGACTTCCCCTCCCTCCCTTCTGCCCCGGGTACCCACTAGTAAACTTTGGTCTCTGTACATTTGCCTAATCTAGGTATTTCATATAAGTGGGATCATAAATATTTGTCCTTTGTGATCGACTTACTTCACCCAAGCATGATGTTTTCAAGGGTTGTACATGTTACACCATGTGTCAGAACTTTGCTTCTCTTTGTGGGCCAGTACTGTTCCACTGTACGTCTCTACCCCATTTTGTGGATCGTTCATCTGTTGGTGGGCATCTTGGTGGTTCCCACCTTTTGGCCGTTGTAAATAGTGCTGCAGTGAGCATTGGTGTGCGTGTGTCTGTGTTGCTGCTTTCAAGTCTCTCGCATATCTACCTAGGAGTGGAATTGCTAGGTTATATGGTAGTTCTGTGTTCAGCTTTTTGAGGAACTGCCCAACTATTTTCCACAGCTGCTGTACCATTTTGCATTCCCACCAGCAATGGATAGGGTTTCTGATTTATCCACATCCTCGCCAACATTTGTTGTTTTCTGTTCCTTTGATCTTAGCCATCCTGGTGGAGTGAAGTGGTATCTTGTTGTGGTTGTGATTTGCATCTCCTTGACGGCTAATGATGTTGAGCAGGTTTTCACATGCCTGTTGGCCATTTACGTATCTTCTTTTGTGAAATGTCTATTCCAGTCTTTGGCCTGTTTTTTGATTGGGTTGTTTGTTTCTTGTTATTAAGTTGTAGCACTTCTTTATGTATCTGGATATTAAACCCTTATCTGAGACATGGTTCCAAAAATGTTCTCCCTTTGCTTTGTTGTTAAAGTGCTGTTGAACAGAAGTTTTTAATTTTGATGAAGTCCTGTTTATCTATTTTGTCTCTCGTTGCTTGTGCTTTTGGTGTTGTATCTAAAAATACTTTATTGTTGTTTTAATTGTATTAAATTCTGTTGCTTAAATAGATAATACAAATACCTGGTGAAAGGGATAAGTAGTAAAAACTGAGACTATTGCTAGTTTCACATGCATTTTTACAGTTATTCTATGTATGTGCAAGCCTGTTGCAGCTCTCTTTTTTTTTAATTTAAATGGTACCGTATTGTACACATAGTTCTGAATTTTGTTGCTTTACTTAACCATGTATCTCAGAGACTGTCCAAATCAGAACCTAAAGACTCACTCATTCCTTTTAATCAGTAAATAGTATTCCTATAAAGATGTATCATAATTTACTTAACTTGGCCGACTTACTTCAAACAATACTGGTAATAATAGTTTATAGTTGTTCTGTGGGTCTAATAGAAGTGTTCCTATCAAAACTTTGTGTTTATCTCAATATAATGAGTCTTCTGCTTCTTATTAAAAAAAAAAAAAAATCTTGCCCTGTCCTGTAAGTAAGTTTAAATTTCTTTGTTTTTATCATTTTATTTTTCCCTTTAGAACAACAGAAGTAAACATTAATCATTAGCAGATTTCAGTATCTTTAGTTGTATCTCTCTACCATATGGTACGCAGCTGGAAAAAGTTTCTGTAATTCTTTGCCTAAAGTCTTATTTTTTGTCCCCTTTAAAAAATAGATACTTAAAAAATACGAACTCCACTTTTGAAGATTTTCTCACTGACGGTATTGGGGTTTTACGGTGAACAGTTGATTTGGACTCCCTATCATAAAGGATGTCTTTGGCAACATGATGTAAATAGTCTATAAAGGGACCTTCTGTTGGATGACGAGTGACGCCAGCATCCTGACCCCTAAATGGGCTGTGGCATTCCTGGGCTTGACCTTAGAGGAGAATACATCATGAGGCAATGAATTGAGGTTTTTGAGTAGAGATGGAGTTTGCTTTATTGAATGGTGCTATCATGGTGAGAAAAAAAAATGCTCATAGATGCTAAAAATTAACCTATAAATTGCTGCCACTTCTACCAGTTACCCCCCGGCTAACGAACGAATGATTAAGAATTTCACTAGAACCAAGGTGCAGTGCGCTGCCCTTGAGATACGTCCACATCCTCAGAGAAAGAAACTGCTTGGATTAGATTTTCACACCATGAAGAGAAGCATCTTCGCAAGATGAGCAGTTTATTTTGTTGAGTTTTTTCTCTTGTGTTGGCATACCGCAGCTTCTCACTTGGAGTGAGGAACCCGTCTATTTTATTGCTGAGCCCTTCTTTGCTGACTCTGGGTAAAAGATCTCAAATCATCCTGTTAATGACGCACAGGAAAGACTCAATAAATACTTGCTAGGAATAGTGAGGAAAAGCCCTATTTGAAGCCGTATAGTGTAGAGACTAAGAACTTGGGCCTTTGATGGCTTGGGTTTGAAAGTGATTCTTAGCCACTCTGTACCTCGGGAAAGTGAAGTACTACCGCAGAGATGGTTGGAGGGATCATCAGCTGATATGTGCAGAGTACTTACTGTGGTACCTGGTCCTTGTAGCATTCAACAAATGTTAACTATAACCATTATCAGTGTTATCATTTGATGGTCCGTTCTGTTTTCCTTATGGCATCCGGGACATGTTTTTTAGTCCACTGATGACCTTGCGTCTCTCCCTGGTTTCAGAAAGTTTTTTCTGCTTCTCATTGCAATCATAAGAAAATTGTTTGCGACACATTGAGCTGACAGTTTTGCTTTGATCGTTTAGAGTAAAAAGGATCCTTTCTTCTCTAAACCAACATGTAACCACTGTTTGTTATCGAAATAGTGTTGACCAGCAGAAGACCTACTGCAAAGCTAAATTTTACATTGACTAATCATGAAGAAAAAGAGCACTGACTCAGATGTAGTTGCCAGTCAGTGGAATTGGGTCCTGGCTACTTTTCTGATCATTTTGCTAGATAAGCTCTTTATCGTCCCATAACACTATTCTCTCAAACTGTTAGATTAGACTCAATGTTATCATACCAACATGCTGGAGGCTTCTCCCAGCTCCATCTTGCGGCCTAATCTGTTGGCGTATATTGCTGTTCATGGAGTGGGTGATAGTAGATAGCAAGGAAGGTATCCTCTTCTCTAGGTTAAATTAAAGCAAAAAATAGAGACTTTTTAATTGCTGACTTCATTTGTAATTATGTACAGTAGTTTAAAATGTAGGTGTGTCGTTGTGAAAATGGTTTTCATGTGCTACTCTATCATGCGTTTGGTAGGAAAAAAGAAAAGTAGTCAACCAGAAAAAATGGAACAATCTCTAGATGTCAGAAGAGAATTGTCTTCTCATTGATATCTTATGAGTGAATGTTACCTCCAAAGATGGTATTTTGTTTTCCTTTTGGGTTTCCAAGGAGTGGCTGGTAGATTTGAACTGCTGACCTTTTGGTTAGTAGCCAAGCTCTTAACCACTGTGCCACCAGGGCTCCTTCTTCTCTGTTTAGTACCCTGAAATTTCAACATAATATTTTCCACTCTTAGTCAAGGTTATGAGTCAAATAACCATGAGGGAAATAGTTCAAAATGAAGTCAAAGGCTAACATGGAATTTAGGCAAACAAAAAGGCCCTGCTTCTCCAGGGACACGTAGTCAAAAGTGAAGAAAGCTCAGCTTGTACCTACAGGTCCCTTCTCATAAGGAAATAGGTAAGGGTAGCCAGAGCACTGACCTGACCCAGGGGTTGGGTACTCAGGTCTGAAAAGTAGTCTACACCAAGTGATCCCAGGTCAGCTCTGGGCCAGGTGTGGGAAGGAGAGCTGAGGTAAGCCAGGAATGTAAATACCAGCACCAAATCTCAAAGAGTAGGTTCTAAAATGGGGAGCAGAGCCGAGAGTCAAGATCCAAGTGAAGATGATTAGAAAGGGAGCGGGTGGAAAGGGTACAAACTGACGGCAGCAAGCAGTCCTTGTCCCCATACCAGTTTGTGGGCTGGCTGTTACTGGGGTATATAGGGTTTGCTTAAAAGTACAGAGACAGGTTACCAGAAATTGAGTAGATTCAAGGTGGAAGGAGTGAGTGCCCAGCAAGAAATGGAACATTACGCTGTAAGAAAAGTGACAACAGAGAGATGCATGACGGGATTACTTAAGATTTTAAACTTCCGCCAAGTTGATTGAGATACGTGTGAAATTGTGTATATGTACTTGCTAATAATTTGTACCCTGAAATTTCTTCACATTATAGTAGAAACTAGTGAAACATATGAAGAGATACTCTAAATAGGCTTATTCAGTGGCTCCTCTGTGGAAAAAGTACCACAGAAGGGGAAAAAGTGAGGAAATTCTTAGGAATACAGGGTCTAAATCTATAGAAGAGAAATGTCGTCCTTGTGTACCCTTTAAGGATGAAGGATGATGACGAAATGTTAGCCCAGGCCAACTCGCTCAGAGCGCTTTCTATCTGAGAGCTCACTGGGACATTCCTCCATTTCATGATGGTCCCCCTGCAGTGTGAACAGAAAAGTGCTTAGACATTGGACCTGGTTGTTTGGGGTACTGAAAAGATAACATACGTGAAAACATCTTGTAAATGGTAAAGCACCGTACAGGTGTTAATAATTATGTCCTCAGAATCCAGTGCTCTTCAAGGTCTTTCAACCCAAGCCATTTCTTTCTCCGATTCTCATATTCCTGTTAATACTATCACCTCTTTCAGTCTCTCAGACTAATTCCAACTCATTGATTCTTCAGGGTCTTTTGCAAATGTCACCTCCTTCACAAAGTCTTTCCTGATTTCTCAGCAACCAGATATACTTGCACTTCATTTTGTCTTCCCTTCGCCCGCGTTGCACAGGGTTTCAACGTTTTGTTCTTTGTTTTGTCTTGTTTTTTGGCATGCATATGTTTCTGTTCTAACACCACATATGTGTTCCTGAAAAACCTCACATTTTGCAAAATCATACGCTAAAAATAATGGTTATGGGGGAAAGCAGGGTTATAAGCAGACCACTTAAAACCTACCTAACTTTGTAATCGGAGCCCTAACGAAAATAATAACAATCCTAATAAAAATACTAGCACAGTTAAATCCCCTGGCATTTGCACCTAGAAGTAAGACTCAGTCTATCATTTGCAGCCTCATTCTCAGGGCTCATGGTTTTTGTTTTGTTTTGTTTTTTTACCCCTAAGGTATAAAGTCTTGCAGACATTTGCTTCTCAATAAAAAATACAACTTAAGGATGGCCTTCTTCATCGATTAGTTTGTTGTTGTTTTGTTCTGCTTTTTAGCACAGATAAATTTGCGCTCGCCCCTTCCCCAGAGAGCGTGTTGTGTGCTTGTAGGCCACGGAATCAATTCCTAGCGACCCTACAGGACAGGGTAGAACTGCTGCTCGTGGGTTTCCTAGGCTGCAGTCTTCGTGGGAGCAGAGGTCCAGGTCTTCTCCCGCAGAGCAGCTGGTGGGTTTGAACTGCTGACGTTTTGGTTAGCAGCCGCGCCTTAACCGTTGCTCCACCAGGGCTCCTTTCCAGATAGCCTAACGTAGAGGAAAGTAGAGCAGCTCTTGAAGCCACAGAACCAGCTACCGCAGGATTTTCATCCTTCTTCTAGTAGATTGCTAAGGCTGCTTCTGTAATCATGAGGAAGCTTGTCCCTTGTCTCTTCTAAATATTTACATGCTGGGAAAATTACGTCGGAACCAATATGCCTGCTGTGTTGCGCTGACATCATGCGTGTATTTACCAATCTCCTAGAACAAAAGTACATTAAAGAGACATGCTTTGTAGCAGAACAGACTGTGCTTGTTTATCTCCCTTCTCTCCCAATGCCTGTGAGCTCTTTGAAGACGAGAATTGTCTCTAACTCAACTCTGCAGCCCCTGCAGTGGCTGGCATGATGCCTTCTGCTTAAGAAGGGGCTCAAAAGGTATTTGTTGGCTTGAATCAAATTATGTGTTCTGCCGCATAATAAATATAAGTCGGTGCTATATGGAAGGCCCTTAATGTGAGGATTGGCAAAACATCAACGTTTCTTCTGGTTCCCTTTGCTGGCAGTAGCTGCCTTCTTAAGATCTTAAGTACTCAATTTAGACATTAGTTGCTATTACATACTTTGATACTCTGTAAACCATGTTGAGGCATAGTGTTACCTGTGATGCTTCTTGCCGATTAAGCCCTGACCTCCTGTGTAAAAATCTATCCACTTGTCTCCATTTCACTGGTCAGTCACTAACACTAAGAGAAAGGAGTAGAGTTTCCTACGTCAGCTGGTCAGTTCTGTTGTATGCTGTATTGTTTGAAGTGGTAGAAATAGGCTGTGTTCCTTGTTTCAGTAAGGAAATTACAGCTTAGCTATTGGAACAGGAACGAGCAAGTATCCATGGTTACATTCTTACTTGTTTTACAGCAGTTACAGTGAGAATGTATTTCCTCGTTTAAGTCTTATCTTGGGCAAAAGGCATTTAATTTTCTGTACTTGAGGCGGTTGCCAAACATATGACCTGTACGTTGCCACAGCAGTAATCTCAGTCGTGAGCTCAGCTGTAGCACTGCCATTCAGTAAGACCAGGTCTTAGGTGTTATACAACCGAGGGCTCACGTGAAGGGGGATAAACCTCAATTCTCTCTTTCTTCAGAATGTGAAGAGGCTCCTGCAGAACCCCAGAGTGACAGAGCTCGATGCTGCTCGCCTGGTGATGCTTTACGCTCTGCATTATGAGCGCCACAGCAGCAATAGTCTGCCAGGACTCATGGTGGACCTCAGGAACAAAGGGGTTTCTGAGAAGTATCGAAAGGTAACCGAATTTATACAGTGAGCCCCCCAAACGGGTACCAACTCAGTTATCATATTCTTGGCTCTGATAAAGAATAAATTATAGTCTTTTTATTCACAGAATTGTAGAATTCGGCCTTCTCAGGTCTTCATTTCCATACAAGATTATTTTCTTAGGAAATGAGCCTCCTGATCCCCAAGCAATAAAAGGTTGCTTCTCTTCTTTTTATAGCTCGTGTCTGCGGTTGTGGAATACGGTGGTAAACGGGTCAGAGGAAGCGATCTCTTCAGCCCCAAAGATGCTGTGGCTATAACCAAACAGTTCCTCAAAGGACTGAAGGTATGAATATCACCTCTGTGTTTTCCTAAGTGAGACGCAGTTGAAGCCCCTGAGGCTGTGAGTGAATGAATATGATCTCCACAGTATCTTGAGGATTGCTGATGACTGAGAACTATATCAATTAAATGAAATTAAAGCAGATGTCCTCTTGAAAACTCTCTCTTTAAGTGCTTTCTGTATTGGAGTAGTAACAGTATTGGACCAAATAGCTGAGCAGGAAATAACTGGAGATATTTCCAAGAAATACCCAAGAGTAAGAAGGCAGACAGTTCTGTTAGTCACAGCTGTTTTACTTCATTTGTTTATAATTTAAGATTTGTTGGGTAATTTATCCTTGGAGGAAATTTAAAGATGAAGCAAATAACTATAGATCTTTAGAAAGTACTAACCTACCAGTGACTGCCCTGACAGGGAACACAACAGAGAGTCCCCGATGGAGCAGGAGAAAGGTGGGGTGCAGGACTCAAACTCTAGTAAAAAGACCAGACTTAATGGTCTGAACGAGACTGGAGGAACCCTGGAAAGCACGGCCCCTGGATTCTTTATCAGCCCAGAACTAAAACAATTTCTGGAGGCCAACTCTTCACACAGGTACCACAGGACTGAACTGTGGGACATAAAGTGATACTTGTGAGGAGTGTGCCTCTTAGCTCAAGTAGATACAAGAGACTAAACGGGCAGCTTCTGTCTGGAGGTGGGATGGGAAGGCAGAGAGGGTCAGGATCTGGTTGAATGGACATGGGGAATCGGGTGGAAAGGAGGAGCGTGCTGTCAGAGTATGTGGAGCGCAATTAGAGTCACATAGCAATGTATTATAAATTTTTGTATGGGAAAAAATAATATAAAAATAAAAAAAGGAGGAATGTGTTTTCACAGTGTAGGGAGAGCAGCTAGGATCGCATAACAACGTATTTATAATATGAGAGACTAACTCGAACTGTAAACTTTCACTTAAAGCACGACAATAAAAAAAAAGTCAAAAAAAAGAAAGTACTAACCTGTTTTCTTAAAATGGCCAAAAATTAGTTTTAATCTGTTATCCTGTCTTGTTTCCTGAGATTTTTCCACTTTTCTGAGTGTTCCCAACCTCATTTTCTACATGGTCCTTTCCTTTTATTTGTTGTGCCTGTCATTTAACAGTTTCACCAAAAGGTAAGAGTTAGTGAAGAAATGATACAGGATTTAAGCAAATCCATTTTTAAAATTCCTTTACAATAATAGCCTTAAATTGCAAAGTATTTTTACAAGACTGGGACATTTCTGGTTGATAAGAATAATTTTTAAATCTCCTAAAATTCATATTTAGTATACATCTTTGCTGATAGGAACATCATTAGCTGTTATATTGCAAGTTTCTCCAAATGACATAAGAACCGTTTTCCCCTATCTTAGGGAGTAGAAAATGTGTATACGCAGCATCAGCCTTTCCTACATGAGACCCTGGACCATCTCATCAAAGGAAAGCTTAAGGAGACCCAGTACCCTTACCTAGGCCCCAGCACACTCAGAGACAGGTAAGGTGAACCATGTCAATAACAGAAGCAGGAAACATTGGGCAGATAGGAGTGTAGACTCATGAAGGGATCACAGTGGAGCTCACGTCCTTCTCCTTCTTCCTCTGTTGTTTCAGTTCTAACATTCTTTTGGTTTTAGGTACATCAGGGTTAGACGTGAATTTACTTGCTAAGCCTAAAGCATTTATTTCTTTTGGGATAAAGAAGCAGATGATGCAGGAGGGCCTTACATCCGTGTATTCTGTCTTTCAGGGTCAGACCAGTTTACTTGTACCATTTAAGGTTCAGTTCTAGGGCACCCGGCATCTGGAGTTCCAATGTTACAGCCAAAAATAGATCTGCTGCTTGATTGCCGTCCAGAACAGGTTGTTGCTATTTTTGGTGAGGACTGGACTTCGCCAATTGTAGCCAGCATACAAACTGAGAGACCTAATGAACAAATGCCGTTTATTACACGGGAGAAAAGAGTAGCTTTCTTTTCAGATATTAACTGAAAGAAGCAATCACTGGTTGTTGCCATTTAATCCAACGGTTAGTTAGTTCTTCTTAAAACAAAGCCTGTCCAGAAAAACTCACTTAGGCTAACCTGAAATTTTAAATATATACAAATTCTACCTAGTTATAAATTGTATTCTTATATTTTTTACTGGGACCACATGTTATAAAGGGCCTCATCTGTGTAGCTGAGTCCCGTAGGATAGATTGGTGTGAGTAATGTTACTGTTGGTATAATTCTTCTATTATGTCAGCTAATCATAATCTAAGAGCCTTAGGAGAATTGTATTTTATAAATATAATGAATTTCTGAAAGGGGAAAAATGTTTTGAGGTACATAGATGAATCTTTTACATGGAAAAGTATATATATTTTTTTCACTTTGTCTCTTAAAAAAAAAAAGAACCTCCTTCCCCAAAAATCATCTTTTAAAATTCCATGGTTGAGAGGCAGGACATCTGGGTTTAAATTCAGAGAGTACACTCATTCAGATAAAATGTTTAAGAACCTTAGTATCAAGATTCAGAAATGTCATCTGAGTGGGAAGAATAAAAACCAGCCCAAAGCTATTCAGCTATATGAGAGGCCCTTTGAAACATAGTGTAACTCTATTCTTGAGCTTTCCAATTAACATGATAAAAGTAAAAATTATAATTTGCTTATGAAGTTCATATAAGAATTACTAAAGAAGAAATTAGCTAAAAGAAACCATAGGTCATCAGAAGAGTATATTGTGTATTTATTGTACAACAGCAAACCTTTCTAGTTTGGATGATCCATTTCCAAACAAAGTTCAAAATGATGCTCTTCCAACAAAATGCATATTTATTAGTTGTCAGCATCTGTTAGCCTTTGTCACTATTACCTAAGTATATGAGCCTGTACATAGACCAAGAGGCAGTCATTCGAACAAAACAAGGAGATACCGCGTGGTTTAAAATCTGGAAGGGTGTGCGTCAGGGTTATAGCCTTTCACCCTACTTATTCAATCTGTATGCTGAGCAAATAATCCAAGAAGCTGGACTATGTGAAGAAGAACAGGGCATCAGGATTGCAGGAAGACTCATTAACAACCTGCAGTACACAGGTGAGACAACCTTGCTTGCTGAAAGTGAAGAGGACTGGAAGCACTTAGTGAGGAAGATCAAAGACTATAGCCTTTGGTATGGATTACACCTTAACATAAAGAAAACAAAATTCCTCACAACTGGACCAAGAAGCAACATCATGATAAATGGAGAAAACATTGAAGTTGTCAAGGATTTTATTTTACTTGGATCCACAGTCAGCACCCATGGAAGCAGCAGTGAAGAAATCAAATGACCTATTGCATTGGGCAAATCTGTTGCAGAAGACCTCTTTAAAGTGTTAAAAAGCAAAGAGGTCACTTTGAGGACTAAGGTGTGTCTGACCCAAGCCATGGTGTTTTCAATCGCCTCATATGCATGCGAAAGCTGGACAACAAATAGAGAAGACCGGAGAATTGATGCATTTGAATTATGCTGTTGGCAAAGAATATTGAATGTACCGTGGACTGCTAGAAGAAGGAACAAGTCTTGGGAGAAGTATGGCCAGAATGCTCCTTGGAAGCAAGAATGGCGAGACTCTGTTTCATGTACTTTCAACATGTTATCAGGAGGGACCAGTCCCTGGAGAAGGACATCATGCTTGGTAAAGCAGAGAATCATCGAAAAAGAGGAAGACCCTCAACAAGATGGATTGACACAGTGGCTGCAACAATGGGCTCAAGCCTAGCAACGATTGTGAGGATGGTGCAGGACCGAGCAGGGTTTCGTTCTCTTGTACCCGGGGTCTCTGTGGGTCATAACCAACTCAATGGCACCTGTCAACAACAACCTAACTGTGTATACAGCTAAGCATCCAGTTGTTTCATCTTTTTACACAAAATATATTTATTAAATGCCTTCAATATGCCAAAACTATTATAGCTGCTGGGGATATAGAAGTGACAGGAAAGAGAAGGTTTCTGCTCTCAAGGAACTTATATGAAAAGAACAGATAGTAAACAAATAAAGAATATAATTTAAATAAGTGCTATGAAGGAAATAAATAGGGTAATAAACTACAAAGTAGTTTATTTTAGATGGACAGAACCTCTCTGAGGAGGTGATATTTAAGCTGAGTTTTGAATGGCAAGAGAGAGCCAATCACATAATGATCAGGAGTAAAAGCATCCCAAGCAGAGGGAACAACCAGAACAAAGGCTTTGAGGAAGGAGAGTTTGGTGAGTTCGTGGAGCAGAAAGAAGCCCAGTATGGTTGGAGCATAGTGGGTAAAGAGGAGATAAGAGGATGAAAAGATAGGCAGGGGCCGAATCATACAGGGCCTTATAGGCCCAGGTAAAGAGTTTAACTTTTATTTTAAATGTAGTAGAAAGTCACTGAAGAGCTTTAAGCATGTAAATTACATGAACTGAATTGTGTTTTAAAACATCACCTTATGGGAAGAATGGATTATTAAGGGCATTTACTTAGGAGGCTGCTGTACTAGTTCAGATAAGAAATGATGGTGATTTGGACAACGAGGCTGGGAGAGAAGGGAGAATCAATAGATTTATTTATTAATGGAGTAGGTTAATGGCAGGAGGATAAGAGAAGTCAAGAGCTCTCAGGTACAGGGTATAAATCAAGAGTTCTGGTGTTAAGTTGGAGATGCCTGTTAGACGACAAAGTGGAAATGTCGCATATAAAATTGGGAGTCAACAAGATGTTGATGATATTTAAAGCCATGGTTCAGATGAAATCACTAGGAAGAGAGCCCAGGACCAAGCACTGGATAGAGGATAGGCAGCCAGCAATGGAGACTGAGGAGGCAGAATGGTAGGGAGAAAACCAGGTGTCATGGATTGAACTGTGTCCCCCTCAAATATCTATCAACTTGGCTGGGTCATGATTCCCAGTATTGTATGATTGTCTACCATTTTGTCATCTGATGTGATTTCCCTATGTTTTGTAAATCCTATCACTATGATGTAATAAACTGGATTAGCGGCAGTTATGTTGATGAGATCTACAAGATTAGATAGTGTTTTAAGCCAACCTCTTTTGAGATATAAAAGAGAGAAGTGAGCAGAGAGACATGGGGACATCATGCCACCAAGAAAGCAGTGCTGGGAGCAGAGCACATCCTTTGGACCTGAGGTTCCTGCGCCGAGGTGCTCCCAGACCAAGGGAAGACTGATGACAAGGACTTTCTTCCAGAGCCAACAGAGAAAGCCTTCCCCTGGAGCCGCCGCCCTGAATTCAGACTTCTGGCCTACTGGACTGTGAGAGAATAAACTTCTCTTTGTTAAAGCCATCCACTTGCAATATCTCTGTTATAGCAGCACTAGATGACTAAGACACCACGAGAGTATGTGTATTAGTTTTGTAGACTTGCCTTAACAAATTACCACAAATTGGGTGGCTGAAAGCAAGAGAAATTTATTTTCTCACAGTTCTGGAGGTTAGAAGTCTGAACTCATGGGAGGGCCATGCTCCCTCCAAAGGCTCTAGGGAAGAATCTTTCCTGGGCTCTTCTAGCTTTTGGTGGTTCTAGCAGTCCTTAGCATTCCTTGGTTTATGGCAGTGTAACTGCAATCTCTGCCTCCACCTTCACGTGCCCGTTTTCCCTGTGTGTGTGTCTGTGTCCAAATTTGTGTCTTCTTATAAGGACACCAATCATTGAATTAGGACCCACCTTAATCCAGTGGCATCATCATAACTTGATTACATCTGCAAAGATTCTATTTCCAAATAAGGTCACATTCAGGGGCTCTGGGTGGACATGAATTTGAGGGGATACCATTCAATCCAGTACAACATGGTGTCATAAAGACCAAGGAGCGAGTAGTAGACTGTGTCCAATCTTCTGAGAGGTAAAGAAGGTGAAGACAATGAATAATCCATCAACTTTGGTAGCATGAAGGTCTTTGGTGGACTTACTCCCCAGGTTCAGTGACATTGGAAGTCAAATTAGAAAGGGCTGCAAGTATGAGATAAAGTGGAGACAGGAAATGTATAGAACAGTTTTTAAGAAGTTTTGCGTAAAAGGGGCAGAGATATGGGATGGTAAATAGAAGAGGCTTTAAGGAAAAGTTTTTCAAGAAGGGAGGTTCTAGAGCATATTTGTAATCTGATAAGAATGATTCAGCAAAAGAGGAGAAATAGGTAATGCAGAAGATGAAGAAGAAGAGCTGCAGAAGTGAAGTCCTGAAAGGACGTAGAGCAGAGCTGAGGGATTGCCTTTGATAGGAGCAGAGGCGCTTCTTCAGCTGTAACAGGAGAGAAGACAAACTACAGGTAGTCCTCGAGTTAGTGGGGGCTCCCTTCAATGACTCCGTCGTAAGTCAGTTCTGACATGAGTCGAATACCTCTTTTTTTTTTCTTTCAGTTTTCATCATTATTGCCTTTTATTATCAGTATCTTTATAAATTTGATCTCTATTTGTCTTTGGGGGTTGGCATAAGAATGATAACATCAGCAAATTATGCGCTGCAACATTGT